GTCCATCAGAGAGACTGCATCACACGAATCTGCTGCTTCAGCCCGTGTATAGAGCAGGTGTTGCGCACCGTCAGCGCGCTGAACGATGCCGGCTTCACAGGTGCGCGCGGATCGCGAAAATGTACAGCCGCCCAGACAGCTCACCCGCCCCGGCTCCCGCGTGCACCGCGCAATTTGCACGCCCAGACATCACGATGTACGAGACGCTCCTCAGACCCCACGAGGTCAGCGAGGTGCCGACGCTCCTTCCTATCGGCGCGGTCAGCAAGAAGCTGCAGCAGTCCGAGCGAAAACGGGAAGAGAAGCGGTTGCGCCAGATATCCAATGCACGTGCACGGCATGCGGAGAAAAGGAAGAGGGAGCAGGATGGGGGCCCAGAGGACAACGATGCGACAGGCTCTAAGAGGGTAAAGACTGAAGACGAGACTCGGGGCGACGCCCAGGGCTCCTCCGGTCCATCAGCGCAGGACCCTGCATCTGTTGTGGCCCCCCTCGGGGCCAAGGACGAGGTGCGAGATGTGACAATGGAAGAAAACCCAGACACGCTTCCCCAGCCTGTCGACCCAAAAGCCCTCACCAGTGAAGTACCGACGCCTCCCCCGGCCACGACACAAATCGTGTCCAAGGTCATACAAGAAGTTCGCGGACACACGTCTTACCTCACTTTCGCATGCCTGCTACCTGCCGTGGCCACCCAAAGCCCCACCTGCCCAGTGGAGAAACACGAAAGTGCGCCATCCCCACGAACCCCGGCGTCTCAGACATCCGATGTCACGGCAGGGCCGTCTATAGATGAAACGTAGAGGTCCCCTCTACCCCGATCCTCCCTCATCTCGGATGACATCCGTTCGCTGACGCGACGATGCTCTCGCGTCTCAGGATACACACGGATAGCCTTACATACACACGAAAAACGAGAGTCGATGTAGGCAGTCTCATTACGACGAAAAATGTAAAAGTCGCTGCGAATAAAAAGATGTTCAGTCTTCGATCGCGCGTCTATAAGCCTCATCCTGCTCCCGCTCCTGTTGGAGCTGAGCGACCGACTTGCCCCGACGACTACGCAGAACCCGCTCGGAAGCAGGGGTAGGCGCCGGCGCCGGCGCTGACGCTCTCCCCCTCGTGCGCTTTGTTGGCGGAGGCTGGTTCGGCCCATCTGCGACATCGGACTCGGCGCTCGTGCTACCGGCCCTGACCCTCTTCTTGCCTTTCACCGGTGGCCCCCTCACTCTCGACGGTGTGCTCTTCCCAGAGCTCGAGGCGTGATTTGCACCCCTGCCACGAGGCGTCGCTTTCGTGCCCGCGGTGGCAGGCGAAGGCCGATAAGCTTCAGCTTCCGCGACCGCAGGCTGATCCCGAGCGACCATCGCCGTCGATGACGCGCGCGAACCCACCGCACTCTGATGCACCGAATCCAAAGCCGCGAGCTCCGCCATGGACTTGGGCGCGCCACCTCTCACGGGCTGTGGCGGGATAGACACGGATGACATATCGCTATCGCTGTCGTCGACGGTCTCCATTACGAGCGATGGCGACCCGCGATCTCCCAACGAAGCTGACGGCGCGGTGCTGGGACCAGGCTGAGGATCGGCATGTGCCGCCGCCGCCGCATCCGGTGCAGAGTCGAGGATCGGGTGCTGGAACTTGGGCAGATAGTAATGCTGCACGACGTCGTCCGCTGTCGTGAGGAAACCGCCCGATGCTTGAGCGTCCTGGGAAATCAGAAAATTCGATTGTAAAACCAGAAGAGCAGGCGGGCAAAAGGCTGAATGACGTCGACGTACGGGGCGCGATGTTTGCACTGTCACTTCGATACTCTTGCCCAGACCCTGATCATCTCCTCTGCCAGCGTATTGCTCCTGCAATCGCTGTCGTATCCGCAGTCCATGGACTAGCCGCGTCCAGCGCTTGATCACCGCCTCTTGGCGCTTGGCCTGTTCTTTGATTGCTGCGTTGTGCTCGTGTTCCCAACAAGCCTATAGAAAAGCATCAGTAGCACCACTGGGGCATTCAGATGAAAACCGCACCTCTAAAACGGTCTGCTCATTCTCCGATGCGACGACAATCCCAGTGATGACAGGGAATGCTCTCCGATTTTTGAACTCAAAGTTCGTCTATCGAGACGTCAAGTATTATTCGCGAGACATGTTCCAGGAGACAGAGAACATCTACGCACCACTGCCTCCGCGTAATCGAAGCCCAGCTGACGGGCAACCTTGCTGGCACCCTTGTCTGCCAGATCGGCGATCATGAAACCTACATGTCAGTGCATGTATCGACAGGCTTTGGTGAGAACAGACGGACTGGGTATATGGGCCGCCCCAACTGGTAACATGGACGGAACATAGAGATCGATGTTGCCGAAATCGTTTTTTGGAATAACGCCCTAATGAGACAACTTGATTAGCTATCCAACACTCATGAACGACACCTCAGTTCCGTGAAACGCACTCACATCAACGACAGGTGGCGGCCTATATAGCTCCGTCTGCCTCTCGGCATACAGCCCCTGTAACACGTCCGGGCCGTTCCCATCGGCGGTGGCACCCGCCTCTCTAAGGACCTCGATTTCTCTCTTGCGTCCGATCGTCGATGCACGCTGCTTGACGAACTTCATAGGCTGCTCGCCGGTGCGCACACTCCGGCCGCGGCGCATCCAGTTCTCTGCCGTTTTCAACGACAGAACGGCACTGCGCGGGTACACGGGCTCGCCGCGGAATTTCCCCAGCTCGGGCGAGTTGGGTTCAATCTCCTGATCGCGGTGGAGGTGGCGAGCAAGAACATATCTATACCGGTCGATCAGAGGGGAGAAGAGGGATAGAAACAAAGTGGCGAGACGCACAGGGAGTGATCTTTAAAGCCGGCGAGCGTGGTGGGCATGCCCTCGGTGATCTGATTGGAGGCAAGTTCGTCGTCCTCGAGGTCGTCTCGGTGCTACATAATGACGAAAGGCGCCTCGGGGCTCAGTCTAACGGACCATGCCTGTCTTAAGGAGAGAGATGATCTTACAAGCCGATAAGGCCTCGTGACGATCCCGAGGACCCTCGTCCACCACTCGCGTCTTCCCTTCCCCCCGACCTGCGCCTTTGCGACTTTCGCACCGTATTCCCGCGCATACCTCGGCGTAAGATCTCGTGCGTAACCGTCTTCTTCAAACGCGAGCACGTACGCCATACGGTTGTCGACTCTGGTCGTGCGCGCGATTGCGCGCGTCGCATTTACGGAGGATATGAGAGAGGCGGGATCGAAGACTTTGCGCTTGTTGACGATGGCTCGTATGGGGTCTACCGGTAACCAGCGTGCATCTGGGCGTGAAAACACCTCGGTCCAGAAAATAGGCGGGGTGGTAGTAGGGTCTGGTGGCTCTGTGAGGCGCATCATGGCATCATACGCAACCATCAGAAGATCTCAGCTGTCTTCACATAAATATAGACTGGGAAAAGTACGGAAATGCCTACGCACTAAGCGGCCGGCTTGAATTGAGGGTCTGTCCCTTGCTCCTCGTAGCCCGGAGTTTGATGATGGGTCCTACCTTCTTTTTTCCTTTGCCCTTGTCCTCCGGCGGAATGAATCCTCCGTCGAGTCTTTCTCCACCCTCCGGAAACTTGCCAGTAGCGGGAATCTCGACCTCTTCCATATCCAACTCCTCATCACCATGATCGCTCCCTTGAGCAGCCTTTTCCTTGCCCTTATCCCTGCCATTCATGCCCTTCAGCTTGGGGTTTGTTTTGGGCTTACCTGCCCCTGCCTGCCATGGCACACTCTGCAAGCTCACAACCAGTCTCGCAGGAATGCCGAGGGCCCTGCAAAGCGAAGTAAATAACTGAGCACTCACGTCTCTACTGCCCCATTTCTGCAACGCGTGTTTCATCAGGCTCTTCTCGCTCTTCACGACCTCGCCCTCATCTAACCAGCCTGAACCGATTTCATGCGCCTTGCCTTTGCCTTTGCCCTTCTGATCTGTGGGTTCGACCATCCCGGTAGCAAGGAGTTCAGACTGGACGTCGTCAAAGATGCGGCTGCGAAGATGTCCGGAGAGCACGACCTCAAAGAAATCTTGGGACCACCACTCAACCAAGCGCAGCATGGCCATCTCGAACATCGTCCCGCGCTGCAGCGCATCGGGTATGCGTGATTTGTGAATGTTGGCGAAAGTGTTTTGAAGGTTGAGTGGAGTTAGGGAGAGAAGACGCGCCTAGACATGCATCGTGCATGCGAGCAGAGGATATTGGCGCGTCGCCTCAATGAAAGGATGGTGGGGAACTGGGCACAAAGCTCGTACATACCTGAAGCAAAGGATCGCTGAGCCATTTATTTCGCACCCACGCATTTGTCAGAAGAGCGACTGTGTGCACTTTGTGGCAGTCAATGCGCACTAGGCGTTCGGCGCGCGATATGCCTCCCAGCTTCTTCCTACAAGTGTCGACATCTGCTGAGTATTCGTGCACAGTCAAGATAGCGGGTGGCCACATACTTCTCTTCATCTATTGCCTTCGAAGGATGTTTTCGGAGCGTGATCTCTATGTTCTGCCTTGTTGAGGGTTCCTCTTCGACGTGAAGGTCCTTGAGCAACGCGGCGTTGGAATCTTCGACGGGAACAGCAACTTCCTCCCAGTCCATTTCATCGTCGTCGGTATCGTCTGCATTGATGAGCAATTCTTCCGCATCGTGGATTGTCATCGTCAATGCAGATTTATTCGAGAGGAAGCCTTGTCAACACGGCGAAGAGCAACAGAGCTCCCATCCGGCACCACGGCGGCAGCAGACGGCAGCTGGATTTAAATGACTCACGTTATGTCACGCGACATCACAGGCGTGTTCCGGCAGGTTCCAGCTGACGTATGAGCAGGTGATCACAGCGATGAGCGTATGACGAGTCTTTTTTCTCTAAGAATTATTATACTGGTATTGCAAAAGTACACAAAGATACGACGCGAACGGGTACAAACACGACATGACGATACTAGAACAGCGCTAATAATACAAGCCTCAAGCTGGATTCACGGCTCAATCACGAACTGCAGCTTCAGTTCTCCGTCGACCTCGCAGGGAACACAATGCACCTTCTGCATATTCTCAACGATGAAGTGCGCACCACAATTCTCGATTTTCGAGCGCTCGTGGCTCGTGCACACAGCAATGACGGTCGCCCCTGATGCAACGCCCGCGCGAATGCCCGAAGGCGAATCCTCGAAGACGACGCACTTCTTCGCGTCAAAGCCGAGGCATTTGGCGGCGAGGAGGAAGGGGTCGGGTGCGGGCTTGCCGGCCTTGAGGCGCTTGTCGTCGGCCGTGATGGTGACAGGCGGAGGGATAATGCCGACGCGAGTCATGCAGCCATAGGCTAAGAATAGAGGTGAGGACGGAGAAACTCGATATAGGAAACGCAGAACGTACCGTAGGTCTTTGCGCCGGAGGTCGCGACTGCATACCGGCCCTCGGGGATAGATTCAATCATCCTTTTGACGCCAGGGAGGATCTGCACTGAGCGATCGACGCTGGCGGCCTCGATCTGCCATGCTTTGAACTCGTGCTCCTCGAGATGTTTCGGCTTCGAGGCGCTGAGACCGCCTTCGCGCTCCTGTTGCACCATCTCTTCGTGAACATCTTCCATGATCGGATCGTCGAAAACGTGCATGTCGGTGTCGGACATTACTGACATGGAAAGGAGGTTGCCGAGTGATGTACCGAAAGAGGGACGACGAGCCGCGGTCATGGATGGGGCGCGCGAAACGGGGCGGGATGAGGGAGCAGAGGAGCCTGGCGAGATAGACAGCTCGGGGGTAGCGAAGCCCGAATAAGCAGGGGTCAAAGGAGTCATGGGAGTTCTTGTCCAAGGCGAGTTGCTTTGGCTGCCAGGACCATGCCTGTGGTAGGCGTCGGCGTAATAGAGGATGGTCTCCTCGAAATCCTGGACGGCATCGTCCATCTCGTGCGCCTTGATGTGGGGCTTGAACTGCGCGAGGTTGTCGACGGCGCGCTTGCCGTGGGTGGCGGCGATCACGTAGGCCGGGTCCTGCCCGATGTCCTTTGCGACCTTGCCCCATGCTGCTTCGACGGCGGAAATCGAGTCTGTGAGTGTTCCGTCCTGTCAACACACTGGGAGAGTTAGCGCGAAGCAAGCGGTTGGTCCAGAAATTACACACCATGTCAAAGAGGACGGCGTCGGCGTGAAATGTTCGTGCAGACATGATGGTCGTAGAGGGTGTACTAAGATGATAGGTATGGAGGGTACGATGAGATTTAGAGGGTGAAGAGGCGGTAAACAGATGTTTGCCTGGGTGAGGGGCATTCTGTAACTGCGCTTGGCCTTATATACGGTTTGTCGAGCAACTGTCGCTGATCAGTTGCAACCGCCCTGAACAAAGGACTCCGGCGAGGATAACTGTCGCGGGAGGTCCAAAAAGGCAAGTGCGAAGAGGGGCGCCATGACGTCAAGGGCCCCAAGCATTTTGAAAGCAAAGGAGGAGCTCAATCGTCCAATTGACGATCGTCGTCGCCCTTAGCAAACTCATGGCGCCTGCTTGATGTGTCCGTGCGGAGCGCCAGACAAAAAGCGGCGATTCCGTGAGCCAGTGGATTTTGGGGCTCCTGAATGCCGTATATCGCTAAGGCGTCGCTGTGGGGCGCCTCTTCGCGCTGCGATAAAACTAGCGTATGCGTGAGTTTCTTGTTACGGAATTCATACCGCGTAGATGACAGCTGCAGCGTCATCATATTCTCTCGCAACCATATCTCCGCCCTGATCAAGGGTCGATTGGTTTTTTGTTAGAACGATCGAATATTGTGGTCGTGTCGTACCGCCTCAAATCATACATACACGGTTACCCTTTGATTTTCATTCGCAGGACCGAGCATGTCAAAACGCTTGAGCGACAAACGTGAGACAAGGCACGTTCTTGAAGCGTACTTACGCTTCATGCCTTGTGAAATGCCGCTCGTGGAGCGTCGAAGGGTTCGCGATCAGTCGCTCGCGACAAAGATGACAAGCAAGGCGCTACGGCGCTAGTCTTCTTTTTCCTTTCGAGACGAACAGGTGGTAAAAGCGTCGTGAAAATTTGCTTGTTTTCCTTGTAAGGGAATCTTCGTTCTTACGTCTCCATCTCTGAGACACTCCTCCAAGGTGATGCGAGTAGAAGACCGTGTGAGATATCACACGATGGCGCAGTAGAGGAGTGATAGTGGCTCACTTACTCGTCGACTCATCATCTACGAGTAGCCCTCGTACTTTGCTTTATGTTGGCTGTGCTGATCTCGCGGAATCCGAAAGATTGCAAGCCACATCGACGTCGACACAACACGCTGCCAAGGCATACAACAGTGGATATGCAAGAGGTGCCTTGCGTTGCCGCGGTTGTCGGCGACTTGACCGAAAGCAGTGCAACTTCGCGAAGCTTGCCATTTCGAGCAAGCAGCATCCACATACTCCCCTCCACATGAAAGGCGTAGGCGTCCCCTCCTTCCATACAGAAAATGGGGTCGAACTGCGTAGCGCTCCATAAGTGAAAGAAGGAACACGCCCGAACGCAGTTGTACGTTCGCCGACATGGGGTGATGGAGCCCTTGGAACGTTTGACGTGTAGGGGCCTCTCACTTTCTTGCTGGCTCTCCGTCAAGGCTGCTTTTAGAACAGATTACTGCGAGTCCACTCTTCTTCATCCATTCAAGCACGGACATGCGGCGCAGTGGCTTATGCACTTGTGGGACCCTTATTACCTCCTATCATTATCTCGACTGATTAGCTTTCCGTTGTTTTTCCGATTGATCAACGACATGAAATAGTCAAGAAGTACACTCGGCGTTCACAGCTTTCTTGTCAACAATGCAATGGCCAAAACCCATCAAATCACTGCTCGTGTCATTGTGCCCTAAAACAAAGCAGTCAAGGTGTAAGCTAAAAGCGCAAGAGTGTCTCCAATACCGTGCCCTCGGCGTCAGATTTGACAGGAATACAAGGCTCCTACGGAGTTTCGGCGCTCCTCGCTTCGAGTGACTCTTCATCCACATTCTCCTTCTCCGAGAGCGACTGGAGATGGAGATAAGGCTACTTTCGGCATATCTCCTACTAGCGAGGGGTTCACCGTTCAAGGCCTCGTGCGTGATGATATGCAGTGCCGGAAAGACTTGTATTGTCCTCAATCATATATTAAAACCGCCGTGAGGACTTGAATACTTAGTGATCTTGCCGGTCAACGCTACAGAAGAAGGTACATACCAATAGAACGCGCGCAGTGTGCGTCAGAGAAGCAGATCTCCGTCCTAAATCCTTCCCGACAGATATATTTTGGCGGTGTCTGCTCCCGTTCATGCGAGTGGTTATTCGATCTCGCGGAGGTGCCTGGCAAGCTGCTCCCTCCCACATACGTCTTGAAAGTCTTCTTTGCCTCCAGTGGTATAGATGATACCGCAGATCCGTGCTCGTGCGTGTGAGGATTCGTCGAACGGCTGTGCATCCGATGGACGTAATGTGAGGCGGCGCTCTGGAGATGCAGCTGAGACCAAACGCCGCCCCAGTCCGGTGGGTTCATTCATTCGACCTGAGAGGAGGACCTCAAAGACGCATAAGGAATGAGGGATGATGTGCTGCGCCCAGTCGAGAAGACTCCATGAATACTTATAGAACGAAAGCACTGGGAGAGGTACAATTGTAAGGAGGAATTATGGGGAATGAGAGTGAATAAGGCGGAGATGAAAAGATGCATCTCCAGAGCCTGCAGAAATCTCGAAGCGTAGATATTTACCTTATCATCCTGAGAACGTTTACCCGATTTCGTTCTTTCCGCGGACATACACACATCTCCCACCGCGTCAGATGTCGAGTTGCAGAGATTGGACATTGAACGGGGAGCAGAGAAAATTGACCGGTAACTTTCTCGGGAGAGTAGAGGAAAGAACGCCGGCTTTCTAGGGGATGTCGGTCCCCGCTCGTATTGCAACGATTGATACCAGCGAGAACCACTCGTGGCGGCAAGCAGTCAGTGGGACTATCGATTGCACGTGTAAAGGAGACCGACATCCCGAAGGCGGGCGGATACTGATCGGGTTAGCGGCCAAGTCGAACCCCCCGAAGCAGAGAAGGCAATTGCGCAGGTCAAAGTAGAATCGCACGGTGGACGAGCCGCTAGCTACCGCTAGTCACCTTCGAGACAGCGCAGGTCAAGGTGGGATCTCCAAGTCGCGCAGCTGCTAGTCGCCTTTGAGACGACGCAGACAGTGAAATTTTCTGTATGGACCGCTGACAGACACTTGCCTGATTGTGCTGATACTCGTCCGAATAAGTAGGAGGGATCCATCACCGTGTCAGGTTACACATATCCGAGGTTCGAGGCGACATCACGCATCATAAATGCGGATTCTACCGTCGCCCGGCTGGGAGTCTCGGACTGGACGTCGCAGTTGAAGATGAGGACGCCTGTGGACGTAGCGAAGCTCGACGAAATAAGGTGATAAGCAGGATTGGCTGACCTCTACCGAACAGGACTAATAACAGGGACCCTGCACAGATGCACGAAGTCATACCGAGCTTTGGACTTCGTCAACGTCAATCAGAATGATGTACGCTGATTACGGCTCTAGTGTATCGAAATATTGATGACCCCATCAGTGATGAAAGAAGCCTTTCGACATCGGGGGCTCGCGGATTCTATGATGGACAGAGGAGAACTGAGATCAGTGTTGGCGTTGTGGCGGCAGTGAACACCGTATATGCCATTTTGAATTAAAAAATAAAAAAAGGCAGAGAGCGCGAAAATGCCGATGTCTGTTTGAGCGGGCAATCGTCACTCCGAAAATGCAGAAAGAGATTCCTATACTTTACGCATGGTCAGAATTCCAGAAGTCCCGAGGCACGGCGCATACCCGTTTCCCAGGATATGACAAAAGATGGAAAGAAGGAGACATACTGACCGAGCAAAGGGCACAGCATGCCAAACTCTCGACGTGCAGAAGGGTGGAGAATGGTGGATGCAGCGAATGAGGAGCGAGAGATGGCCTGTATGGATCCCCGTGGCTTGGGAAGAGGGCGTGTAATAGGGCCTTGTTTGAGCGATCGTGATAGTAGAGCGGGTCGAGGTCGGAAGCGGGCCATGCGGGCGACGGGCGACGACGGGGGAACCCAAAACGGGAGGGCGAGGACATTCGGCGGAATACATTTATTGCGACCGCGTCGACCAGCGTCTTATCTTCTGTGGACACTCCATGGTCCCCACGTCCTTCTAGTTTCTCTCACAGGCGCCACGCGTGCCGTTCGCTCTTTTCAATCCACATTCTTTTTTCTCCACAACGTCCTGCATGTCATCCCAGCAGGCAGACGTTGACACCATGCACGGTTCTTCGTTGAACAGGCATCACAGGCGCCACGGCGTCGCCTCGCTCCAAGAACGAGACCCTTCACTCCTTGGTCTCTCCATCAGCATCAACCTGCCCTCTATCTCCATTCCCATTATAGATCCTCTCGTCACCGCTCTCATTGGTGATTTATTTCCTACTCATACAAAGACAACCGCTCCTGCGACGACGACGACGGCATCGTCGTCATCTGGTGGTAACAGTGGAGGCAGTGGCAGCAGCAGCGGCAGTAGCGGCAGCTCGAGTGGAAGTGGTAATTCTGGCGGTAGCGGCAGCAGCTCGGGCAGTGGCGGTGATGGCGGCAGCTCGAGTGGAGGCGGCGATTCAGGCGGAGGCGGGAGCAGCTCGGGCAGCGGCGGTAGCGGGAATAGCGGCTCGTCAGGCTCGGGAGACTCAGGATCACCCGGATCAGGATCCAGTAACGGTGGGAACAGCAACAACGACTCCTCCAGTGGTTCGAGTCCCGAGCACGCTACGACCGGCGTTGCCGCCAGTTCTTCGTCGATAGCATCAGGTTCTGTTGCGCTGCCCGGTGGCTCCGCAACTGGCAGTAGCGCACCTTCGACCACCTCAATTACTGGTTCCGCATCTCCCGTGAGTGGCACGGACGCCTCGATCGCTTCTGGCAACGCCGAAGTTGGCAGTGCAAACAACGGTGCTATTCAGACCGTGACACCCCAAGTTGAGAATTTTGCCGCTGCTCCTGCGGTCAGTAGCCCGAGCCCTACCGTTGTTGGGGCCACACAAACTGCGGCTAGTTCTCTGGGTACGGCCGCCGCTCCTTCGAACTTGGGCAACACCGGCAGCAACGGTAGCAACGGTGGCTCTACGTCCACCAACCCGTCGGACCCGACCACGTCCAATACAGCTGAGGCCGCTTCCAGCGGCTCCCATTTATCTGCGAGCACCCTTGCAGGAATCATTGTAGGCGTCCTACTCCTCACCGTCCTCGTTGTCTTCTGCCTTCTACGCCGACGTTCTAAAGCTCGCCGCGCGCAGAGGAGGTCTCAGTGGTTTGCTGATCGCCAGCCTGTCGAATCGACTCGCGCCGCCACGCGTATATCTGCGCGCAGCAGCTTCGGAACTCCTTTCGAGCAGCGATTTTCCTTCAACTCTCCACCAGATAGTACGGTGCCTGGCTCTCCATCGGCCGCACCCTTAGTCGCGGGCTCGGAACGAGTCTTTTCACCCATGGCACAATACGCTCCGGTCGCAGTCATGGTATCTCCAACATATACCACGTCTACCAGAGATATGGACGGTCATCATAGGGCATCCGTGTTCACTGTTGCTAGCACCATGTCTTCCTCCAGCACGAACTCAGGCGACGATCCGGAGTCGCAATACTTGTCTATCCCAGCTCCCGCCGTCATCGCGCCAAACCAGACCAATCTCATCGGCGTAGAGATCCCAACGACGCCGATGTCCGTGCGACCCTTCTCTCCGAGCGAATCCTTTGCTTTCCCGAAACCCCCAGGGCTGTTACGACAATCTTTACAGGACATGCAAGATCCGTTCGGTGACAATTCATCCTACAACATCTCGCGTGTCTCGATCGCCGCCACGGCGCCTCGCTCTTCGCACCCTCCTTCTATCAGCTCCGCTCAAAACCCTTTCGCTGACAGCGCAAGCGTCGACACAGGCCCCTCCCCAATTTCTGACATCGTACCCGGCATCCCGCACAAGATCTTCCGGCCTTTCGCTCCTACCCTCGTTGACGAGCTGGCAGTGGAAGTGGGCGAAGAGGTGCTTGTCCTGCAAGCATTCGATGATGGGTGGGCACAAGTGAGGAAGGGGGAGAGGGGGCCTAAGGGGCTGGTTCCTCTCGACTGCTTCAGGGAACACGGGGAGAACATCCCAGCTTTCCTGGCTTCGAAGAGAGTCAGCAGCTTTTTCGTGGAAGCTCTATGATCTGGTAATTTCACGCTTTTGTCTTCGCGGACGCGGTGACCTTATTTTGAGCTCTTGCAGACTTCGCTACGCGCCGACTACGCCCTCCAATCGTTCGTTGAACGTTGACCATGTTTTTATTCCCCACCATTGTCCTTGTTTTCTAGGTTTCCGGACTGCGCCCTCCAAAATGTGCCCTTATCATCGTTCGTTAAGCCCGTCGGCTTTCTTGTCATCCATATGCTCGTTGTAAAGCGGTACTTCTATACCCAGGTGTGGTCTACTTTTGCGTGTTTCGATAGTGGTGTGGAGGGGGTGCATAGGATCTATTGGATAGGAAGGAACTGTGTGCAGATTTATACGCTATGTATCTTTTCCTTCGCTCCGTGTTTTCAGTGGTGTGTCACATTGCTTTCGTGCGGACTAGCATACGTACATATATATACCATTCGGCCGTTGGCTTCTTGGTTTGCATGCGTGCCGTCGGCGTATCCTACGCCGTTCTTGCAGGTCGCCCACACCAGACCATGCTTTCAATCACTACATGATTTGATCTGTTTCACGAATGTGGGTTGCATAATAATCCATCCAGCATGTTTTGTTTCTTCAGCCAGAAACCGCCACGGCTAGGTCTCTCGATGGAGAAATAAGACCTTGACGCTCATCTCGCTCAAGCTCGTCTCCTGTTTGAAGCACATACAGCCGCCCACGACGGCAGCACGACATATCGCCGGAGGATAGGGCGCGGGGAAAAACCCTGAGTTAGTAACTGAGTTAATAACTGGGGAATTATTAATACGTCACTAACACATACCTGCTCGAGCTAGGATTTCGGGGTGTTAATAACTATTATCATAAATGGTAATTCAAAGGAAATAGTTTGAGAATTTAGCGAGAAAGTTGCCAACAATACAGTTTGGGGTGGCTGACTGACATCTCGATGAGATACGTCTATGCAACAAAATGATACCCAAAGCTGTCATGCACGTTGACCCATCTCTTTTTATATTATGATCATAGGAGGACACCAAAAAGATATAGAGGCGCGACACTACCGTGTAGATATCCGTGTGGATATATCTGCTACCGAAGACAATATTTATTGTTGCAATAGTCTAGTGGCCATGCAAGGGTACTGTTACCCATGAGCGTTGGGTTCGATTTTTCATCGGGCAAACATGTTTTGACCCTTTCCCCATCGCGTAGTTCATGTTAAAACATTGAAGTCTGATGTATTACTTGCTCCACAGTGGGCTGCTCGTTATGTTTGCGAGGGTTAATAAAGGTGCAATCTCCACTGGCTGATCACACTGCTAGGGCATAATTTAATATAGTTAACTTAGAGGAGTTAATAACTGAGTTGATAACCAAGTGTTATTAACATGTCATGTTATTCATCTGCGAAAAACTCTTGGGGAGTTTCTCCTCGCGCCCTACCGGAGGACCACGGAGGGCTGCCCAATGACGAAGTAGCCCCACATGGCTCGGCCGCCGTGCCGGCGGCAGAACGGAATTTGCCTGGGCCCAAAACCTCCCCTTTGACTCACGGAGTCGTTCGTCTTCCGAGGTCTATAAGTAATATGCTCACAAATTGCCTCGTCCTTTCAACCATCGCCTCCAAAGGTCGAGTGCACGAGGCCTGATGTCCACCCAGACGTCGCAAGAGCTCTCGCGGACGCACACGATAGCGGCCGAGAAGCAGGACGAAAAGGTCGACCCGCCGACGGACGTCGTATTATCGACCGAGTACGAGGTGACCCTGGGCCCCGAGGACGATCCTCAGCAGCTGCCTCTGCTCAGGCGGTGGCTCGCTGTGGTGACCATCAGTTGCGCGTCTGTGTGCGTCACATGCACCTCATCAGCGGTACGATACATCCACCCTGCTCCGCGACACGTTCTCATGTAATGCGATTCCGCGCCTCCAGGCTGCATTTACGGAAGCTGGCGTAGCGCGCGAGTTCCATGTTAGCAGGGAAGTTACCGTACTGGCCATCAGCCTGTTTGTCATGGGTCTTGGCGTAGGGCCTTTGCTTGTTGGGCCTTTGTCTGAGGTATATGGAAGGAATATCATATATCGGATATCTTTCATCATGTTCTTTATATTCTCGTGGCCGGTAGCCTTTGCTCCCAATATCGGTTCGTCTCACCTTCCGTGTGTCCGTCTGCTGCCCAACGGACTTTGTTTCTATCTAGCCGTATACCTGATCTTTCGATTTGTCACTGGCTACTGCGGCGCGGCGTTCCTCAGTGTCGCCGGTGGAAGTGTCAGCGACATGTTTCCAAACTCGAGAGTTGCGACGTGCGTTTCCGCGTCCACTAGTAATCGAGTGTAATATTCATCAGCATTCATCAGACCGATGGCCATCTACACCATCTCGCCGTTTCTTGGCCCGGAGCTCGGGCCACTATTTAGTGGGTGAGCCCAATCATATTATCTCCTTTCCCCACCCTTGATAACGCGACCTTTCAGATTTGTCAATCAACACCTGGATTGGAGATGGACCTACTACATCATCATCATCTGGATATTCATTCAGACAATAGGGCTCATTCTGGTAAGTCCTCGCGTTCCGATCTGTGGTCCCTGCGTTCACACATATTCTTAGTTGGTTCCGGAGACGTATATACCCGTGATCTTGAAGCAGAAAGCACAGAGGTCTGGCCTTCTCTTGTTTATTCCTGGAAGGAACCTGACTGATGTGACGATAGAGTGCGGAAGGAAACTGGAGAACTTAAATATTATGCGCCTATAGAAAGGACGAATAAAAGCCTAATACAGGCTCTGGCGATCAGTTGTTACAAGCCGTTTGGTAAGCTTTCCGACGCAGTGGAACGTTTATCAGGCTCAATGCTGATGCATCTTTGCTGCTGTCAGAGCTGGTTCTGCTCGATCGGATGGCACTCCTGCTCAATCTGTGGTACATCTCCTTATATCTTGTTCCCCCTCTCTGTCATAGCTCATATGATATGCTCGGTCGTCAGGACAGCACTCATCCTGGGAATTCTGTATCTCGCCTTCCAAGCCTTCCCAATCATATTTGAACGAGGCCATGGCTTCAATGCTCAGATGACCGGGCTGACATTCCTCGGTATCGGCCTGGGCATGGTCATAGGGTTGTCTACACAGCCGTACTGGAACAGGTGCGTAAACTTTAGTGCCACCTCCGCACAGACACCCTCTAACGCCCCCTGGCCATAGGAAATTCCGCGAGTACAAGTCCGCGCACGGTGACCCTCCCCCTGAATTCCGTCTGTGCATGGGACAAGTCGGGGGCATCCTCGTTCCCATCGGGCTCTTCTGGCTCGCCTTCACGACCTACCGGAGCGTGCACTGGATGGTGCCCCTCGTCGCCTCGATCCCATTCGGCACCGGCACGTACTTTGTCTTCACGTCCACTTTCACGTACCTGGTGGTCGCCTACCGTCCGATTGCCGCGTCCGCGATGGCGAGCAATAGCGCGATGCGCAGCTCGTTTGCCGCGGGCTTCCCGCTATTTGCGAACGCGATGTACGCCCGTCTCGGGACGGTGGGTGCGACAGCGCTCTTGGCCGGCCTGACGACCCTCATGGCACCGCTCCCGTAAGCCATTTTCCTTCTTCTCGCCATTGTCCGTGTGAGCTTATCGGTTGCCCGGACAGGTTCATATTCCACAGGATAGGTGGGCGACTGAGGCAAAAATCGAAGTTTGCCGTCAAGTAGGTTTATCCTGGACCGTAGCGTAGGCTCTCACCGGGATTTTTTGACGTATCTGTTTCATGAACGAAGTATAATGTCCCCACTAATATTCTCCACGCACTTAATATCTCCACGACGTCACGCACACGTCTACTATACATCTCGCGACCGTCATGGACCCGTTTAAGGCAGAGGCGAGCGTGCGTTCTCACGATGCGAGCGCGTCCGCGCGAGATCTCGATATACCGTCGGCGCGACCAATGAATGAGATCGCCATGAACGAGGCGTGTCTGGATGAGGCTGCGAGGCCTAATCGGAGCAGCGAGGTCCGGTCTGATCAGCTCCTCAACAGAGCACGTCGTACGTCGTACGTCGTCCGCTCAGTTGAGTTTGGAGATCTGGCCGCTTCTAGTATCTCCTTTGATGCTGGCCCGCGTTAGTGTTCCCGTGAGAACGCAAGCCCTGCGAAGTAGACGTCTGCGAAGACGAAGAGGAAGGCGCGCGCATCGAACACGCGTCGAAACTGAGGAGAAATAGGAAGACCTTCGGGCGATGGCCATCTAGATGTACGTCGCACGGACGCGGACGGACGAACGACGGGGAGGGCAAATGAGGATGCGGCCCAGCCCGTGGCCGCCCCGGAAGCTGATGGCGCGCGGCGTTGCCGGGCGTCTCGTCGCCGGTCGCCTGGCTTGCGATTCGCGCATCGAGATCGGCGGGTTGGGCGATGTTGATGAGATCTGGGACTGCGAGGGGAGACAAGGCAAGGGGAGGTGGACGCGAGCGAGCGCGAGGGAAAGCCGGAGCGCTGCCGCGGGCGAACGCGGGTCGCCACGGAGGGCGTGGTCGAGTCCACGAAGGATTATGTTCCGGTCACGCAGGGTAGTATATGATACGAGTTTTGACAGGGTTTGTGCCCTTGGGCTTGGGTCGATAAAGGAGGAAGCGGGCAGCCGTCGATGAAATGCAATGTAATGTTAAATCGACGTAGATCGGCTCCGTCCTTCTCATTAGGAACGAAAGCCCTGTGCCAAGTATCGCTAATTAAACTGCCGTCGCAAAAGCGTGTCATTGTCATGTTGGGTCGACAAAAGTAGCGCGCGCGATGAACCACGCCGTGTATGAAAACACCATCTCCGCTCCGTGCTCACACTGCACCTCCTCGACTCTTGCGTCACTCCCCTCGTCTTGTCTCCGATCCAAGCTCGTGGCATTGTTTCAGCCAAGAACGGGCGTCAAGATGAACTTTACTCCCGACGAGCGGCCCTGGAAACGCCGCGCTTCGACGCCTGCGCATTCTAAGCTTCGAGCGCACCCACGGGTGGACGCTGGGCAGTGGGCAGCA